GGGTGAGGGGGGGGGGGGGCGCCCTTAATCGTGTGAAAAATATATCAAACCTTATTTTCTTAATATAACCTACTTTGTTAGTAAAATATCTTACTTACAAAACCAGATTAGTGGTTAGTAAAAATAATAACGGTTGTTTTAACATTTTTTTATTTGTTGTACTTAACGGCATGAATATTCTTACAATAGGACATTTTCTCATAACATTAAATCTCCGTCATTATGATGTGTTAATCTTAAATCAAACATTACAAACCTTGGTGCCAAAAATAATCGCTGAATTTTGCGTCAGAATACTCACATAAATCGCTTCCGCGTGAAGTGCTTATCAATATTTTTTCGTTCAATACAAAAACAATTAATAAATCCGGTCAACTCCTAAAGTTGGGTTAAAACAAACTGGGTTCAGAGTTCACCAATTCTAGCAGACCGGTTGGAAAACGACAAATTATAAGCAATAAATTTAAAGTCGATATACTGACGAAGACGTCATACCGTGATAAAGGAAATATACAAAATTTAACCAGTTCCGAGAGCTGTAATGTGTTTTGCTCTATAATATCATCTCCTTCCTAATAAAACATGCACACAATGTGTGAACGTGTCCCTATGTTGTGCGAACTGCATATTACGCGTTGCGTTAACTTTGCCTTCACCTTGTTATTCATCAAGGTTAACGCAAGCTGTCTTTACGCAATGCATAATTAACTACTTTATGACAATACTTTAAAATAAAACCTCAATGTCAAACTCTGATAGTTCCAATTAAGTGTCGCCGCACGCGGGCCACACGCCACAGCCACAAACGCCGCCACGAGAAGCTAGAAGCGAAGCGACTACTAAAGTGGCTGAAGCGCGCGACAGCGGCCGACTAGGGTAAGGGAGAGAAGGGTGGGGAATCGCGCGAGTGACGTGTGGCGGCGTTTTGTATCGGCGCATTAAGTGGCCGGTGCGGGCCACAAGAAGCAAGCAACGACGATTTGTAGCGTGTGGCGGCCACCGGCGTACTGTGTGTGGCGAGTCCATATAAAATGTATGAAAACTACAAGAAATATGCCGGTGGCGGCTCGGCGTTTTGTGGTTGTGGTCGGTAGCCCGTGTGCGGCGACACTAAAAAACAAAAATGAATATTCACTACGTACCATAGAAGCAGCCAGTGGTGTCGATGCTAAACTTAAAACTAAATTTAACATCAGTCTCTCCTTTCATTCTGTATGGAGAATGACAAGGATACACTGTTGGTTAAATTTAAGTGTAGGTTTAGGGAATCTTGCCAAAATCGACACCACTAACGACCATGCTTATAGACGTTTGCGATACCAAAAATATCATTCGCACCGTTACCTACCCTGATTCAATCCCCCATCCCGTGGAGCACTGGAATCTTACTCACCGACAGAAACACAACACCAACGTCAAGGTAGAGTTATTATATTTCACTGTGGTCTTCTTTAAAGTGGAGGTTACTTCCCCAAAACGGGCGCTCCAATACGAGCGGTAAATTCGCCATGTCCTACCTCTCTTAGCTATTAACACAGTATGACAACGTGATACCTAATATAACATTATATTTGACTTCTCTGTGTAAAATGATCGAAATATCAAAATTTGAAAGCGAGGCTATACATTAATACTAGACCTAACTAACATACTGCACCGATTCCAGTTCCATCTCCACATATTATTAAAAATTACTGCCTTCGCGCATTATTTTGGAAAAACTAAAAGAAATTGGAAAATTATTACTATTTTTTGTAAGGACAAAGTTTGTATGGTGTATTTTTTGGAAAACACACTAAAACCACCGGTTTATTGGAATGGACTGTTAAAATCTATTTTTTTTTTCAATATTTACCTACTTATATTGTACTTGAACTTGGCTTCGAACAGACAGACAAACTTTTAAAGTGAAACGTTCTAAATGAGGGCTCATCGATAGCCTTGGATCCATAATGAAAACCATAACTGGTAATCTTGATCAAACCATAAAGAATATCCAGAATAATGAGAACTAATGGCTGGATTTCATAATCATGTTAGCTTTACAAAAGCAACCACACAATTATTCGAGGAGCTCGATGGCGTGGGTGGCTAGCGCGTTTGACTGCGATCGTTGAAGTTAAGCAACTTTCGCAATGGTCGGTCATTGGATGGGTGACCAAAAATCTTCTATCTCGAGTTCCTCCATGCTTCGGAAGGCACTTTACGCAGTTGGTCCCGGCTGCATCTGCAGTCGTTAGCACCCGCCAAACCGCACTGGGCCCGCGTGGTGGGTCATGGCCCAATCTCCCTATTCCATCCATAGAGAAGGCCTGTGCCCCAGCAGTGGGGACAATAATAGGCTGATGATGATGACACAATATTCCGAAATTTTAGAAAAAATTGTTGATATTGATGCTACCAGAGACTGTCTTATTAAATTTTCTCATCTCGCGCAAGTACTTTTAATACTTGTTGATAATGTAGACTCAGTACCACGGGTGTTTACAAGGATATCTATTACGCACTATTAATTTCTTACTAATGTAATTGAAATTTGAAATTCGCAATTTTATTAACAGGCTCGAAAATTTATTTTATATTGTTTACTCGTATCGAAGCAATAGCAGTTGTTTTGACGTGACAACGTCTTAAATTAGGTTGCGGCTGGGAGTCACTTATGAAAAAGTGTAACGCTCGGTAACGTTACGATGAGTCTCTCGTGTTAAGTTTAAGTTTACATGTACAATGTTTTAGTAAACAAAATATATTTCTATAGTTAAAATTTGTGCAATTCTTATTTTCATTCAATTCCTTGTTCCTATTGTGCAATTTAATTATATTCATATCAATAAATATTCTACCGAGAAAAAGACGTTGTCACGTAAAATCTTCGCCCGTAAAACCGACTTTACAGGCAACCATTTTTTTTATAGTAATGAAATTTCATTTAATAAAAAGTTCGTTTTTCTTTTGGAACATAATTTTGATTAATGACAAATGATTATATCGCAAAAGTATAGCCTAATTGGAATTGCTGATAGTTTCGTATTACCATTGTTACATAATAAATATGAGGCAAAAATCTAATCTTCATTTATCCCATAAATGCTTATTTTTACCAAACCTCTTTTATTACAGCTTATAATTTTATTTTTGAGCAAAGCATATAAACTATTAAATTAGGCATTTATTTTCTCGTGCTCATATAAATAACTTTTAATCGTAAAAGATTCAGGGAATTTAGTTTATCATAAATTATTAAAGATACTTTGAGAGGTATCTATCAAAATCGCTTATTTATTAAAAAAACGGTAAAGGTTATATAAAGGTCCTCTCTGATTCGCAATGAAATAATACGCTAACAATTTCCAAATAACTGTGATTATCTTTTTCTACAGAAGCTTTTTACACAATAATTGAAATAAAATGTTTTTATGTCGTTATCGCAGTTTAATTTTACATGATTATAAATATAATTGTCTTCAATGTAATGTTAACCTAATACAGTAGACGCGCGATAATCCGGACCCCTTCTAATCCGGCGGCGCCCCCTGTAATTCGACACGCTTATCACTGTTGTTTGCACATAAAATCAATTGAATAGATTTGTAATTTGTCGGATTACAAGGTACTCTTATTCAAAAATTCCGGGCTATAGAGGGACGTATTAGACAGTACTCTATAAACCGGCAAACTCGGTAATCCGACATCGCCCTGCAAAACGTTTATCGGATTACCGCGGGTCTACTGTATTTACAATTATCGCCTTACCCAAATTTTGTGACTGGTGAAATAAAAACCAACCATAATATCTCTGTCGGCCTTACTATGGTTTCAACATACACATGGACTATGGCTGTATGGTACTTTAAATGCCGAAATATTATCGTCTTAAGTAAAGCAAGGCACGATGATTTAACGTTGTTTTTTTTTGTGTCTGGGAAATGCTTTTCGCGTCCTTCAACCACTGGGGGAGCGAGAAGAAGGTATGTGGGACTCCTTCCTGACCATGAAAATGTTGCAAGAACCAAAGTTTTACAGCGCAAAGAAACAGTTCCGAAAAACTTAAATTTGCGGTTGGTAATCCGAACGCGACCTGCATCGATATATGGGAACAAGTTTTCCAACAGCAAATTAAAGTTTGTACGGAACCTCCGTTGCGCAAGTACTACTGACCAAAGCTACGCCAATACTATTGACACAACCCACGTTATACTTGAGTTCTTGAGTTACGGCGAGTAAAGGATGTTGGAATGTAAGTTTGCTCAGTAGCAGAGTTGTGTTTAAACGTTATTTCTATACGTACGTGGTACTGCGTTCAAGCATGTTAAAAATGCTAACAAACAGAAACAGTTTCATTGACTTAGGAACATACAAGTAGCAAATGTTGTTTCTATGCAAAACACTCGGGTAATACAAGTGTGTAAATAAGTGAGGGTTATAACCCTCTTACCTGGACTAAGTTAAATCATCGTGCCTTACTTTACGACGATAATATTTCGGCAATTATAGTGTCTTACAGCCATGGTCTAAGTGAAGGTGAAACCATAGTTACACTGACTGTTAAAAATAAGATTAATATTTTGTATACTAGATGGCAAGCTATCGTTTTGTTTCTATATAAAAACGGCTAACTAGAGCCGAGGTTCGAGTCTCAGAGACGCCCTCTAGTTGAGCCGACCCCCTCCGGTTTGAGTGATCTAGAGCCTCCAGACGGAGAGGAGACTCCCCCCGTGGGGAGATGCCATCCGCCTGGAATACCTCTAGAGGCACTCGCCAATTCTCGGCTTGAGGTCCCCTTAGGATCTCGCCGTCCCCAAAACCGGTGACGCTGTAAAGGTCATCTGCGACCAACAGCATAAACACCCCCCACGAGGCAGGGGATAGCGGTCAGGGTAGGCAACGGCTCTGGTATATATCTTTATTTTTTATAATCGTCAATAAGACGACGACACTTTTGCTAAAGCATACTTTACAATAAATAATAAGCACTATATAAGCCATTTTAATAATTTCAGGCTTAACAATGGAGGTGATTACAGTTCACCCACTCATCGAATTGAATAATGAAATTGTTGAAGGCACAAGAAAATTCTATGGCATGGGGGACGTGAAGACAATTAACGAGAGCCTTGACGCGATTCAAGATTGGACCAAAAAGCAGCCACACCTAGCATCGGCAACTGAATTTATGAGTAAGTAAAATCTTTTATAGTTTGTCAATAACTTCACTGGTGGGACACAATATGGACAGGTTTACAAAGAGAGAATTTGCCATAGAGGAGCCCGATGAGGCAACGGCCGATGAATTAGTAACATTGCCGTGTGTATACCAAGAAGTGGCCGAAGAAAAGTGGGAAGGTAACCTATGTGCTATTTCCACGTTTTTTAGCTTTCAGCACATTTATGATTGGTCCTATTTTACAGTATTCTATGAATCCATTTTGTTAGCTGACATATTGGATTCGCATTTTTTCAAAGTGTGCTCTATTCTACTTCTTCTTCTTTGGGTGCCTCTCCAACTAGTGAAGGTTGGCCATCAGCTCGGAAAATTTCTTCTTATGTCTCGCGAGGCGGAACAGTTCAGCCGCACTCGCGATCCCGGTCCATTCCCTGATGTTACGTAGCCAGGACTTCTTCCTACGGCCCACTTTTCTTTTTCCTGCGACTTTTCCCATCATTATGAGTTGCAGCAGTTCGTAACGTTCGTGCCTTAGCACATGCCCTAGGTATGCAACTTTTCTCTTTTTGATGGTTTGCAAAAGTTCGCGTTTTCGGTGAGCTCGCCGTAGAACCTCCTCATTGGTAACCCGCTGAGTCCAGCTTATTGCTAACATACGTCGGTAGCACCACATCTCAAAAGCTTCAATACGTTTCCTGAGATCTTCTTTTATTGTCCAAGACTCGCATCCGTATAGAAGAATGGGCCAGACATAGCAGAGCAGAAGCCGAGTGCACAAAGTGATCTTTAGGTTTCGGTTACATAGGACCTTACTCATGTTCTTGAAGGCATTCCTAGCTATTTCAATTCTAGTTTTGATCTCTAGTTCGCTGTCCCAGCTTTCAGTGAGCCAGGTGCCTAAGTATTTGTATTTGTGCACTCTTTCGATAGTCTGGCCTGATACTGCTATGTGCGGCTCGAGATGGGTGTTTCTAGAGATCACCATACACTTTGTTTTTGTTATGTTCATCTTGAGGCCGGCTCGTAAACTGCACTCGTTCACTCGGTTTACAATTTGCTGTAGGTCGGCTTCTGTAGACGCTAGTAGGACTGTATCGTCTGCGTAGCGAAGGTTATTAATTCTACGCCCGTTAATGATGACGCCACAGTCTAGGTCTTCTAATGCTTCCGCCATAATTGCTTCCGAGTACAAGTTGAAAAGTGTCGGTGACAGACTGCAGCCCTGTCTGACTCCTCTCTTGATCTCCACTTCTTCAGTTTCCTCTCCCTCAATTCGGACGGTCACTCGTTGGTTCCAGTACAGGTTTTTAATAATGCAGATGTCCTTGTTATCCAGACCGACGTCGTTCAGGATCTTAATAAGTCGGTCATGCCTTACTCTATCGAACGCCTTCTCATAGTCGATGAAGCAAAGGTAGACGTCCTGCTGCATGTCTAAACACTTCTAGATCAGAACCTGCACTGCAAACAGCGCCTCTCTAGTTCCCACTCCGGATCGGAAACCAAACTGACTATCGCCGAGTTGTTCGTCACATCTCTTTCTAATGCGTTCATGCACAATTGATAAGAACAGCTTTAAAACTTGGCTCATGAGGCTAATAGTTCGAAAATCCTCACATCTTTTCGCATTCTTTTTCTTTGGGAGAGTGATAAACGTTGACTTCAGCCAGTCTTGTGGTATGTGACCTGAGTCATAGATAAGGTTCATGAGCTTTACCAAGGCGTCTACATGGTCTTCCTCTAGCAGTTTTAAAACTTCTATGTGTACGTCGTCTGGTCCAGCAGATTTTCCAGATTTTGCTCTACGCAGCGCTTTCACCACTTCAGCTTTCATAATGGGAAGACCCCGATCTTCGTCAGAGATTTGAAAAGCGTTCCGTGTGTCGTCTGAGAACATAGACTCGATATATTGTTCCCATAGCTGTTTCTTTATGGCCTTTTCTAAAACTGGCACACCAAAAGCATCAACGAGTTGATGTACAGATGACTTACGCCCAACCATGGCTTTTACCTCTTTGTGCAAATTGAATGCGTCATGTTTTGCACTAAGTTCTTCTATAAATTCGCACTTGCTTATTAACCATGAGTTCAGTGCATAACGAACCTCTCTACGTATTCGTTTATCTAGGTCGGCGTACTTGGTTTTATCAGTATTCTTGTAAAACCTACGTTCTTCCATCAACCGGTATATTTTTTCTGTTATCCATACTTGCTTTGGAGTCCAATCACTTTGTCCAAGAAGCGTTTCATTTATTGAAGTGACCACAGATTTGAGTGATGACCATGTATCTTCCACTGATTCAGATCCCGAATGCTTAGATGTCACTGCCCACTCGTTTATTGCGTTAGAGACTTTAGGTTTTTTATGTCTTCATCATAGATTTTCCTTATGTCTATCCTTTTCTTGCGAGGCTTCTTCCTTATTTTCTTAAGGGTACAGGATATCACAGCAAGGAGCAGGTTCTATTCTACTATTCAAGCTGTTTCATTTAATATCCACATTCCATTTAATTCACACATTGATGGAGTTATGGAGAAAAACATGTGATTAGTCTTTGGTCACATCTCATGCAGTCGAGTCGCATGACGTCACACGTGGGAGCGTCACGTGGAACAAAATTTTATTATTCTTGTAAGCGAAACTTCGTTTTTGTTTTATTTGTATTTTAATGATAGTATCAGGTTATTGTTATATTTCACTTCATCACCATCATCATCATCATCAACCCATGCTCGTCCACTGTTGGACATAGGTCTCCCCCAATGCACGCCATTTCACTTATTTTTTTGTATAATTAATCCATAAAAAATGTAAACTTCTTACGATGGGACAAGATAATTGTTTTACGAATAACATGAATATTTTATTAACTCATATTTAGTTACTTCCTTATGTTAACAAAAATCGTCTTTATTATTCAAATTTTGATCGAGCCTATCAATTTTGTTTTTTTTTCATGGATTCTTTTTATTAACATATATTTATTATTCTAGTTGTATTCATGTTTGCTGTCATTTGACTGTTTAATGTATCCATAATATGAATAAAAAGTGGAAAAGGACATATGAAAGTATAAATATCTAAGAAAAAATCTATTTTACAGCTCGTCGATATTTAGAAACTATACTTATATTAGCAAGAGGTTCAGTCGAGGGAGCTAAAAACAAAATCGACAAAATATGCACTACCCGAGGTTTAATGCCAGAACTGTGTATGAACTTTTCAGTTCAAGAGTACAGCAAATTATTTGAATGCGTGTAAGTAAGATTTATTTTCATATGATTAAAATTAACAATATGGTTAATAATAAAAGAGGTGGAAGTTTGTATGGGAAAACAATTTTCCACGCAGATAAAGCCAACTAGTATTATTCATAAACCAAATCATTTCACCCTATTGAAAAACTAATTCTTAGATCAAAACTATCCTATGTGAAGAACATGACAGTTTTCCCTGGCCTCAAACTATCTCTATACCCAATTTCATAAAAACCGGTTCAGCGGTTTGAGTGTTATGAGGTAACAGACGGTCAGACAGACAGGCATACTTTTAATTTCTCCCGGATGACCCGGAAATGCGTCGGTCGGTCGGGAAGGTGCTCAATCACTAAGGGAGGGTACTTACGTTCCAGCGACACAGCTAGCATACTTTCACACTAGCTTAGCATTAGGCAGACACAGCACCCGTAGGATAAGACTGCGAAGATCCGGTCTACACACGACACGCTATACCAGGTATAGGTACGTATCTGGGCGTTTTTCCCCGCCCCCTACGAAAACGGCTAACAGGAACCGAGGTTCAAGTCTCAGAGACGCCCTCTAGTTGAGCCGACGCCCTCAGGTTCGAGTAGTCTAGAGGCTCCAGACGGAGAGGAGACTCCCCCCGTGAGGAGATGCCATTCGCATGGAATACCTCTAGAGGCACTCACCAAGTCTCGGCTAGAGGTCCCCTTGGGATCTCGCCGTCCCCAAACCCGGTGTAAAGGTCATCTGTAACCAACAGCATACACACTCAAAAAAAATGTGGGTCAGTGCTATCGGACTTGGCGACAGTTGTCAAGATTAGGGCGAGTGGCTGCGGTGGTTTTGGGCGGTGCAGTTTTTGCTGTGCTAACTGTAGGTGGCGGAGGCAGGGACGTGGCCACTACCTGTGAGTAGGTAATTGAGGGTAGTTGAATACTTTCTCTTACCGTCTCTCTTGTTGGTATAGCTGCCTCTCCCTATACCCCTTTTGTGGGCGGGCACATGTTAGTTAAAACTTTTTTTGCGTATCAACAAGATCTTGAACGAACTTCCCTCAGCGGTTTTCCCTCTTAGCTATGATATGACGATCTTCAAAGAGCGGGTAAACCTTTTCCTTCAGAGCCGTCAACGCATGAGTCGTGTGTAGTGTGGGTGTGTTTTTGCTTTCGACATTGAATTTTAAATTGTTTACATTAAGATTATATTGTAATCAATTTACAACACGACTTTAAGTAAATTGAGTAAGTAACATTATTACTTACCGGTCTTGGGATCTTACTCTATTACCATCAGATGGGCTGCCAGCTCACTTGCCTACATAAACATAAAAAAAGAAAAATGAGAGGTGTTTCATCCTAAAATGTACTCACTTTACTGCCAAGGAAGAAATAACTTGTGAGGTGCTGTGTTAAAAAGTTTTAACTGACACTGAGTAGTTAAAATATGATTTATATTCAAATAGAGAGTTTCTTTCAAAATTAAATTAAGTAAATGCCTTGTTTCAGGAGATACATACCATTGCCCAAAGTATGCCCCACCGACAAAACAAGGATTATGATGACACAATTCATACCAGAAAAAATGGATGCTTTCTCAATATTATCTTATTTTAGATACAATTTGATGGTAAGTTAGTTTTAAAGTAAGCATGCAATGTGAAATATGCATATAATTTAAATAAGGCTCAATTTTTCTTTATATAAACTCTTATTTTTGAGCAAGAAATTATTTATTGGAAATTGCGAAAAACTTGAAATACAAATATCTGAAAAGCAACAGAGCGGATGTGTCGTAAAAATACATAGCAACAAATCAATAAACAAGCGCCATTTTCAAAGGATATGTTAAAGTCAACGAAACCTAATGCGAGTGAATGGGCGCGCGCACCTAACCTCCTAATTTAACTGGGGACTTTTGTTGCTAGGTTGCTATGTATGGACTGTGACGTCACAACAAGAGTTCCAAAATAGCGAGCTTTTAAAAATCCCGTGAATAGTAGCCATTTTTAAAATTTTTTTAGACACTTCACCATTTTTTGACGTTGAATATTTTTTATACTATATGAAGGGAATGTACAACTATGAAATGAAAATATAAAATTCGTCAGCAGTTTTTTGAGAATCACACTGGAACCTAAACTTTTTTCGGGATAAAAAGTATTCTTTGTCTCTATCCAGGATATAAACTAAATGCGTACCAACTTTCATCCAAATCCGTTCAGTGATTGAGTAAGAAACATACAAACATACAAATTTTCACATTTATAATATTGGGAGGATAATTATAAAACAATAAATCTATACTATTATATAAAAAGAGATAAGGCTACACTGAAAGACTGACTGACTGACTCATCAATGCACAGCCGAAACGGCTGGACCTAGAATGATGAAATTTGGACAGTAGGTTCCTTTTATTGCCCCGGACAAGTATAAAGATGGGATTTTTTTGAAATTCAGCCTCTTAAGAGTGAAACCCTTTGACCTATTGACTGCAAATTTTACATAAACATTATTTAATATATGTACACTAAGCCTGTAACATTACATTTTTACAACTACCCTCAAAAAATTACAAAATTTTAGTGTCAAAAATCCAAAAATGCAAAGGATTGATTAAAATTTGGCATACCTATTCTGTATAAAATAAAAATGCTATCTGTGTTTTCATTTTTCAAAACAACCTTCATAAAACAAAGATATAGCATGTTGAAGTTTTTAAGAGTGCGTCAGCGCAAGCCTACACTTTAGGTCGTAGAGACGGGATATTTACTAATTAGGTTGTTTAAATGTCGGTACTGGCCTATTGTAAAGGATTACAATAAAACAACATTTTTTCCAACAATTCTACGGGAACGAGACTACGGGTGTCTAATCCTGTTTCTTAAAGCACTTACCTGATTTTTAAAACGAAATCTTCAATGTTTGGAATTTTAGAAGAATAAGTTCTTCCCCCACAGGACAGGCTAAGTGGGGGCTAGAAATCTGTAAAATTGTTGTGAAATTTGGAAATAAATTATTAAATTAAATTAAGTACAACTTTTGCTCTTTAATTCCACGGACACGGGACCTTCCGGGGAAAAAACTGTTTTTCAACCATTTGACCGATTTCCAAACCATTTTTGCTAGGTCGTAACTACGTATTATTTCCGGATGCAGATTCGTGTCTTCTTAATACAATACTCCCGTGCGTAGCCGGGACGAGTCATTATTTCTTCTATTAACTTCTTCTGTTATGTAAAGAGGGAAATGGACATATTAATTGATTGGCTGGTTGACTCATAACGCAAAGCCGCTGGACCAAGATTAGTGAGATTTAAATAGTCCTTTATATTGTCCAGAAATAAATTCAAAAAAAATCCACGCGGACCAGGCAGCAGACGGGACTCGAACGTACTCTTCGCAATCCGGGCGAATGCACTGACCAATTATGCTACCGCGGCCCTCACGGACCGCGTCGAAATTCCTCTAGCCATTCTTAAGCTGCAAGGCAGCGCCATCTCTTCGCATTATTGTGGGTTACCTATAATGCGTGTATATCAGTACATTCGCCCGGATTGCGAAGGGTGCGGGTTTGAGTCCCGTCTGCTGCCTGGTCCGCGTGGATTTTTTTCTAGTTATATTTTCTTTAGATTTAAACATCAAGCAGTTTCATGCTTTAAAAAAATAAAAATTATAACTAAATAAGTAAAAACTCTATCAGTCAGTTGTGATCAGTTAAAGAATCAAAACGCGGCAATGGAAAAGAATTACATAAGAAACTCAGTGCGGCTACTTACAAAATCTGTATTAATTTATTCGTGTTATTTTTCGGATGCTGATTCATTATGTTTCCATAATATTTAATACAACCGTGTAAAACCGGGATGGGCCGCTAGTCATGTATATTCTCTAATACGTTATAGATAATTGGCTGGTTGCCAAATTGATAATAAGCCATAGCAATAACGGCTAAGTGGCATTTTTACTAAAATAAATATATCGCTTGCATCGTTCACCTCATTGTTCACTATATGTTTTCTTTTCAAATTACACGAATATTAATTCCTTATCTTGACGAAGCATACAGTATGAATACTAAGCAGCAATCAATATGACTCGTCAATGAGTTGTATAGGCCGATCTCTCAGCCGTCCGTCATAAATGATAATAGATTAAAGTATTAATTATTTTCATTCCAGGTGGGAGAATATAGGGCACATCACGATTACACTATAGCAGAAAGATTTGTTATTGATTTAAATAACGTTAGCCAAATGACAATCATTACTAAAGTCAATCCAATCGTAGTAAAAAAGGCTGAAATCATAGCTACTGTAAGTGAAGTAATTGTTAATTGTTAAATTCTTGATAACCGATAGATTGTTGTATTTTTAAATACTTAAAATTTGAATATAACTATGTTGTATTTTTAGGAAGCATATGGTACAAAAATAAAGGGAATACACCTTTTGAATGCGCCACCGTTTGTAGATAAACTAATATTCTTACTCAAACAAGCATTGAAAGAAAAAGTAGCAAGCCGTATTCATGTGCATTACACATTAGAAGATTTCCATAAGCTTATTCCCAAAGAAGTGTTGCCAAAAGACTATGGTGGTGATGAACCTACACTAGAGAAATTATCAGGTATTTTTATCAAATTTATCATAAACTATAATAACAAACAATAAAAAGTACAAAAAAGACTAAAACAAAACCAAAGCTGAAAAATTATAAGATATAATTTTAATACCATTTCAACAATTTAATAATAATTTATTTAACTTTTCAGAATTATGGCAAGAAACACTGCGGACAGAAGAAGCAACCAAAATTATTTCAAACATAAATAATATAATTGCAGATGAATCAAAAAGACCAACAAATCAATTTAATCAAGAATACATGGGAATGCCGGGATCTTTTAGAAAATTAAATGTTGATTGAAATTTTTAGATGATGTAGTCTGATGCATTTAACTTTAGGTCCCCTTCCCTCTGGACCACGATAGCGTTTAAGCGTGTGTTGCGTATTGATTTTGTGAATATTAAGTGAAAAATAATAATTGTAATAAATAAAATTTAATAAATTATTGAGAATAATTCAAGTAGTGTACCAGGATTGCATGAGCTGCGGTGAGGCGATGCCGACTCAGTGCGAAGGAACGAATATCAGAGAGACGGTATACGTTATCGTCACTGCGTCTATCCATACGAATGCTGTGTACATAAGGTGCTGCCGTGAGTCATAAGCAAGAGCGATTAGCGGCAAATTGAAAGGAGCTGGCTCAGTTTTTTTAATAATTTCATCATATATATATACATACGACGATAGTAGTACGAGTCTAGAGAATATTACTAAAAATCATATGAAGAGAAAGCTTGGTTATGCTGAAATGCAGAAATTTATTGCTGAAATGCGTACTATGTTTGTAAACTTTGTTTCAGGCCAAAACTCAAAATTGCAAACTCTTCAAGAAACTGTAATGCAAATACAGGAACAAAACAATAATACTCATACTTTTATCGACATGATCTCTGAAAAATATGTTGAACTTTACAGGGAAATTGAAAAACTAAGAGAAGAGTGTAAGGAAACCTGGTCTTACATAGATAATTTAGAAAATGAAATTGAAAATCTTAAGAGAAACGTGTCTGCTAGCAAAATATAAATACGGAATGTCCCAGTTTACCAAAGGAGAATAATAAAGTGCTTCTTAACCTGGTAAAACTTGGTATTTGCACACAAATTGTATTGCCTGGTATTGACACCATCTTTACAGCTGCAAAACCTCGCGACTAAAAATTTAAGGAAAACCGAAACAGTTTCTTTTGGCTGAGTGTCTTACTGCAAGAACGAGAAGACTATTCTATTTGTTGTTACTGTTAGACTAAATGTAAAATATACTAGTTATGGTAAAATATACTAACGTAAAAAAGAAGGCACACCTCAATACGGATTAATGCAGAAGCAGATCTGACAAAGTTAAAGATGCTGAAAGCATCTGTGTAAACCATGAATTTACTTGTTTTTCTCCATTGTTTGTTTTAATACACTATGTCACACTTTACACATTATCTATTCAACCAGATATACGTCAAAGCCTGCCGACCATCCTGCGCTTACACTTACTGAGACACATCAAAACGGTTTACGGGAGTTGAAGGACTTGCAGTTGCAAATAGTCGACTCATCTTACTTCGTTGTGATTGTGCACTCCCACTTGTCACTTAATTGATTTTTATCTAACACGCTTTGGACATTGGAACACGGTTATCGGTTTTATCAATCAATATGGATGAACTGGAATCATGTTTTCTCCGAAGCGTGGACAAGTTTGTGTGATTTGTGGTCGCTCCGTTTAACATAAAAGACAATTTGCTATAACGGACAGAATATTTGAAAACACCCCTACACATGCGGGGATTTTTGCGTTTACTTTAGCGCGGCAGAATAAGGGTGCACCCTTGCACCTTGTAAAGTACTCCCATAATACCTGAGCCCCTTAAGTAGGGTAACTCAATTAATTCCCTTGTTTTATTAATGTTCGTTCGTTATAGTACTTGTACCTATTTAACTGAAAATAACTAAAGGCCCCCGGGATGGAATTTGATGCGCTTTGGCACAGATGATCATGACTATAATACCTTTCAAACAAATGTAGTTTAAGCCGTGGCGGACGTGAGTACATCGTCCATACATTTTTGCCCAATGTCCTTTCGATGCACTTGGCACTTTGATTGATAGGCTGAGCTTTAAATGTTATGTACTTGTGTTAACAGAGTGCTAGTTATCTTGTAATCCCATTTTACCAAAAATGGAAAGTTATGTTAAGTTATATTGTTATTACTAGATTCCTTGAAAGATGGTTAAATCAGTTACCTTAGATTCCATTACATAGTTAGTTACATACAGGTCGACCTTATAAAAGCGTGTTCAAAAAACAGAATATATGTAGGCGATTATAACGAGCCCAAACTCGATATGTTTACTAGTAGGCAGTGCAGGATACATCAGCCATCTTCCAGTTGTTCCTCAAGTCCTCGTCATCAGGAAAAATGAATAGAATATGTTAAGACGAATCTAATAGGCCCAAACTAGATATGTTTACTAGCAGCCAGTCCAAAGTTTCATCAGCCACCTTCCAGTCCCATCATCAGACCAGCTTAATGGTACCATAATATTGTATAATCATCTAATCTACATATAATTGCAAAGTTTTATTATGTTAAGACGAATCTAATGAGCCCAAGCTCGATATGTTTACTAATAGGCAGTTTAAGGTTCCATCAGCCACCATCCAGTCCCGTCATCAGATCAGCTCGATGGTACTATAGTATTGTATTGTCATTTGTCTACATATAATGGCCAAGTTTCATGATGATACAAGAATCAGAAGTGCGTGTAATTCAGATTCTAAGATTTCATTACATAGTTACATACAAGTGGACCTAATAAAAGCGTGTTAAAAATATGGACGAAGCAAAAAAGGCGAGAGGTATTTTCTTAGATCTAGCCAAAGCCTTTGATACGGTCCCTATACCAAGGCATTTGTCCAAGCTTGAGTCCCTTGGAGTACGATGTACGGAATTAAAACTTTTTTCCGACTATTTATCAGGGCGAAATAGTTTAATATGCTGATGATACTGCCCTTTTATTCTCAGCAGATAGTTGGGCGGAGGTTTACGACAGGTCTCAAATAGGTTCAATACTGTTTTCATGTGGCTAAGGAATAATTATTTGACACTAAATTTTGATAAAACAAAATTTATGAACGCTCGTGAATTATCAAAAGTAACTGACCCTTTTTGTAGATTTTATAGCTGTTATAGCCAAGCTCAACAAGCGTGTGTCTTTCCCTTAATAAATAAAATGGACACGATAAAGGATCTGGGCATAACGCTTGATGCCAATATGAACTTTAAGGCCCATATAGAATTGTTAAATACTAGATTAAGGGAACTTATATATTAAAAAAGTCCACAAATTGCGGACGCCAATATTGTGAAACAGCTATACTATGCACTATTTGAATCAATATAATCATATTATAGTGTATTTTGCTGGGGTGGGACTGATCAGTCCACTTTAATTAAACTTGAAGTAACCCAAAAGGCAATTCTGAAAGTTTCTACTTTTAAACCTATTTTTTCCCAACTCAGCTTTTGTATCAGTCTTGTGGCGTCTTAACTGTACGACAGATTTTTATCTTCGCTTGTATATTAAAATAACTTTCAATTACATCATTTGACCCAAACTACATCAATGCTAGACGCGGCTATAAAGTTTGTGTTATACTGTCCTTTAAACATTCATACATGTATAAATTCTCATGTTTTATTGGCCCCTACATATACGATCAAATAAATACTGTTATAAAATATATATCCCCTCAACAAATCACAGTGTAAATCTTAAGTTTGTAATTGGTTTTTAAACGATTAAATTACGTGAGCACAGAAAACCTTTTAAAAATCCAATTTTAGTGGTAAATTGTGTATACTTAATTATTTAATTGGGTAATAGTAGGTATATACATGAATACTGTTTACTTTCCAAGTATCATAATCATATTATTATGTTTACCAATATTATAATCGACATCTAAAGTCCAATCTTCACACACCCTCCCACACACACACATTCACATTCACTTCACACAAAAGGAGGTTTGATAAACACATAAATAATTAAATTTTTTTACTTAAATAATATAATAATTTAACTTTGTTAAATTAATTCACTAGAATTGTATTTTATCCTTACACAAAGGTTGTGTAACTGATACTTAAGGACGAGGGCTGTGTCCCTGATACAGGTATTTTTATAACCGACTACAGGCACAGACGATACTACAAAATGTTTATTCTCAGCTATACTGTACATTGTTTTGTGCGATTCTTGTAAACTGGCTTATTTCATAATTAAAATTTGTGGAGAAACACGAAAAAATGTATGAAGTGATTTATTGTAAACGGGGTATGGAAGTGAAATGAAATGCATTGTGTATGAATGTTGTAATATATTTAATTTAAATGAATGTGCTCATGTTTACTGAGTTTTTATTTTCATAAGAATTTTATAGCTGATCCTTAATCATGATAATATTCTTCATAATTCTGATAATAGTCTGAATGTGCCAGCACGTATCAAAATGTTTTAGATATCTTCAAAGTGTAGTCTTTTCCAAAATGTGGTATTTTATAATGAGAATAATAAATATACAAAATTAATAAAATTCGTATAATATACACGTTACCGTTATGATGATGCGTAACTAATTAAAAAATAATACAGAAAGTCTTCATGTCTACTTCATTTATTGTTTAAAATAGATTACGAAGAGAATTGTAAAACAGAAAATTTATCTAATTAAAGGTGGACGAGTAATTAAAAAATGGTCAAGTACGAGTTAGTTTCATAGACGAATACCAAATACAATGTTTAATAATATTTGAAACACTACAATTGTTAAGATCAGATAAACGCGGAAAAGGCACGATTGTTATAACGGCCATAGAAATGCATAATACGTATAAATTTTAACTGCATATCGATTACGGCTCATGCGACACTTCCCACTGATAGGAGGACACGTGAATAGGCAGATGGACGAAATACGAAAGCTTATAACAAGGTAGGGAATACAAAATACCAACTTTGTTTTAATTACGTAACATTAGATGTAAAATACTCTTAAATATGATGCCTGGAAAACCAGTACTTGACTATATTGTTTTGTATAACAGAAGTTTCTCAGACGAAACCTACTTTTAAAGCGATATAATTCTGGTATCTTAAATGTTATTCTAAGACTGTGATTATATGATAAAATGTGATAATAATTACTTTTCAATTTAAATTACGAGTCATTTTATAGGCAGTCATTATTTATAGAAGGTGGCGAATCAAACTTATTTTTAAAGATGGTGGTACTAGGGAATAAAATTTTAATTGTTTACGTTATTACATATTGTGAAATGGAATGAATCAATTGAATAAAAAATGAATCACTGATTTAGTGTATTTTATTATAATCGATTATTGCCATGGAATGGATATAATACTAACCCAATTTTATATTGTAAAAGAAAAAGAAGGAATTACGTAAAAACTGCAATAAATTTGGAATACAACTAATACAATTTCGTAAGTATACCTGATGTCAAGGACAGCAAATGAAGCAGTGGTAAGGGAAAAGTGTTTTATTTAAAATAATAAAAAGGTAACAGAATAAAAGCAGCAAGAATGAGTGTCGTGGAACACTCAGTTGGAACGAAGTTAAAAATAAATATAACTAAACATATAGATATAACACAGACAACACGCTGCGCAACAATTAACGGTTGTTTTTATAATTTAGAATTATAAATCAGACGACCATTTTCAATTTTGTAATAAGACGTAACTGAAAAGTATATACTGCAGACGACAGACATGAACTAACTACTTATATAACAGTTGTTACCAACGATATTTAAATATAAAATGAATATAAATATTATCAACACTCACACCAATTAGCCTAACCCCAAAGTAAGCACTGTAAGGCTTGTGTTATGGGATGCTAGGTAAACGGATAGAATACATGTACTGTACATATATAAGTATATTTATATAGAAATACATATGAAAGATCCATGACTGGAGTACAAATGCTCGTATTCATCACACAAATATCTGGCCCCACCGGGATTCGAACCCGGGACCTCTCAAGTCAGCGACACCATGAAACTCGGCGCACAAACCACTCGGCTACGGAGGTCGTCAAATTTGGTTGGTTGTGACAGAAAATCTTCGATTTCCCCTATTCACTAAGTTTGTACAGTCCGAAAAAGAATTTCGTTCTGAAAATACAGTAATGTGAAGGCACATTATTATCATCGAACTATAAGTCAAAAAACCGGTTTATTTCCGTCACAACTTACAAAGTACATTAGGAATTGGCGTCTTTATTTTTGTTGTTAAAAAACAGCATATGGGACATCATACACCAAAATTTCACATCCCGAACTAGTTTCGAATATCAGATAGACTCCATATCAAAAATGGTCTTAAAATTACAATTTTGATGGCATCCCATTTTTTGTTATTAATAATAAAAATAATATTTATATTCCACTCAACTAGATCTAGACAATGACAAATGACGTGTCACATGTGGGTTTAAAAAACTTGGTCTCCTTTTCAAGTATGGGACCCATGAAAAATAACTTAATTGAATTTTTAACGAAGTGCAACCTTGATATAACAAATTGGAAGGGAACAAGTAAATATTCGTTATATCGAGTAATTCTTTAAACTGAGGTTTGTTATATTGAGGTTAGGTTGGTCTAAAATTTGTTATAAAGAGGTAAAAAAAATGTTTATTGAGGTTAGGTTGGTCTAAAATTTGTTATAAAGAGGTAAAAAAATTGTTTCTTGTCTGTAATATGAATCACGTACTATGGGATTAAGGGCCATATATTGATGGATACGTAATATAGAGGTTTTTGGTTGACAAAATTGTTAATTAGAGATATTTACTCTTTTTTTTTGATAGTTGAAAATTTGTTATAAAGAGGTTATTCGCAAAAAATGTTCGCAATGCAAAGGTATATTTTACATTGACTCTTATGGTAAATTCAAGGGGATTACGAAGAATTTGTTAAATCAAGGAAGTCGTTATATTGAGGTACGTTATATTAAGGTTGCACTGTATTCGGCCTTAGACAAGCATTTTACATAAGACAAAAATTTCAGTTTTGTAACTCATTCCGTTTACAATCAACATGAGTATTCCAGCGAAGACGAATAAGTAGTACCACTTGAGTTGCGAACGAAATTTTGAAACGTGATCATATTTTCGCAAGCCAAATATGAAGCGGATATAAAAGTTTTGAAGTCGCTCAAGCTTATTTAGATGGTCCTCCGTGATATTAAGATACATATACGTACAGGTCCAACTAAGAACATCCAAATTTTAAAAGTCTGTTAATGAAATTATGCTTAACAAAATTATTTTACTGTTTCTTATGTAGTATACTAAGTGTGCCTACTAAAGTAAAAGTATAATTTTGCTTCTTAGATAATGATTTTGGATTTTGCTTGATAGTCGTTCTACGATTTCGGCTTTCTGCTTTCTTGGCCACGTGACGATATTATTGAAATTAAGTCCAATAATATTCTAATAAAATTTAAGGAACATATCGCTAATATTTTTGATGATTATTTCGTAAATGTTCCTTTGGTGGCTACATCTAATTTGAGCTCTTCAACGGTGGCTGCCAAGACATTGCTCGAGAAATATGTACCTAAGTATGATAACGTGTTTCAGTTTAGACATATTAGTTTTATTGATGTTATTAAGTGTTTTAAATCTCTTAAACAAAAAAATACAAGTGATTTATGGGGTATTTCTACTAAAGTTATTAAAAGTATAATACCCGTTATTGCCCCTTATCTAGTTGATATATTTAATAACTGTATTGATCAAGGCGTATTTCCGGATTTGATGAAATACAGTAAAGTTATACCTCTTGTTAAATCAGGAAATAGAAGTGAACCTGGAAATTATAGGCCTATATCAATATTACCGGTTCTAAGTAAAATATTTGAGAAAATTATTCTGGAACAATCAATGCCTCATTTCAACCTAAATAAACTTTTGCATAGGAAACAATTTGGTTTTACCAGAGGTAGATCTACTACTGACGAGGGTGTTGCACTTGTAAGGAGTATATTGGAGGCTTGGGAGAGGTCGCAGAATGTTCTTGGAGTGTTCTGTGACTTATCCAAAGCTTTTGATTGCGTTGATCATCACACGCTGTTATTGAAATTTAAGTCATTATGGAGTCAAAGGTACTGCATATAAATTAATACAGTCGTATCTCAGTTCCAGAATTCAAACTGTAGAGGTAAATGGTGTTAGATCATCTGGATCTCATGTGGAAATGGGCGTTCCCCAGGGTTCAATTTTGGGTCCCTTTCTGTTTCTAGTATATATAAATGATTT